ACAGGGGACAGTGAGCCGTGGGGGTCCCGTGCCTGCCAGCAGCCACCCCCTGCCCTGCGCCCCGTCCTGCCTCGCCATGAGGGGCATTCTGTACCCGCTGGACATGGGGGCAGGCAGGCAGAAGCCGCCGGGTGCTTGCTGTGGGGCTGGGTGGGAATGGGGGGAAGTGGGGTGTAAATCCCAACCGCCCCCACTGGAGCATCCTCTCTCCAGGTGTTTGTCTCTGCCCTGTGGCACTGCCACATGCTAAGAAGGGACCACAGCATCGTGGTTGGCCATGCAAAGGGGCCGCAGGGCCCCCTGTACCAGACCCCTGTGACTGCGGGTGCTGCTGGTCCAGGTGCTCCACCAGGCTCTGACCCGGAGGTTTGTACCCAGCACCAAGGGGATGAAGAGGGACAAACAGGGGGTGACAGGTGGTCTTACTCATCGTCTCCTCCGCACAGCTTCAGCAGGGCCTTCTTGTACTCCCCGGAGGTGTCCTCCTGGAAAAACAGATGGTGATGGAGAACGATGTTCAAGATAGAGCCCTGAGATGGGTGCATGCAGAGGGATCTCCCTGAGCCTGGTCCTCAGAGATGGACAGCCAGCACAGGGTGGCTGGGGAGGGGGCTCAGCCCTCCCACAGGCACCGGCATCACGAGGGAGGCAGCAACAGCAGCTTCTTGGAGGGTGGCTGGGGACCCCCGGCACTTACCTTTATCATGTTGTAGAGAGATTTCTCATACTTGGTCCTGAACACCTCCCGGATGTCCAGCATGTCAATCTCACTGCGCGACACCATGATGCGGATCAGCGTGTTGTCTCTTGTGCCCAGCCCCTGCAATGGAGGAGCCCCCACATCAAGCCTGGGATGGCCAAGCAGCCCTGCTCAGCCCATTGCATTTAGGACCCTCTGTCAGATTTCTACCCAGCCCCAGATTTGAAGGAATAACTCCTTTGGTGGGAAGAGCAGAGACCCCAGGTCACATAGGTCCTGTCTTCATGGACCTGCGTCACCCTGCCCTCCAGCAGCACCCTGTGGCAAGAGGACCCCTCCTCTGGTTGGCTCCCTGCAATGCTGCAGGTGATCCGGTGGAGAAGGGGTGATCCACTCACCTTCATGGCCTTGTAGAGCCTTTCAGCAAAATACTCTGCTGTGCTTCTGATGCACTTCACTGCGGGGAAATAGGGATGTGGTGAGGGATGCTGGCACCTGACTTCACCAGTGCCCCCAGCCTCTGAGCACCCATGCCCATTGGGCACCACCATCCAGCGTCCCCACCCACCCTGAAGGAGCCTCCCTGAGCTCCCTGAGACCGGGTACAGCGGCGACTCCAACCCCGCTGGCTCTCGTGCTGAGCCATCCCAGCCCGGCAAGGCCAGTGATGTGTTTTCGCGGCACCCCCCACGCAGGGGCTGACTTACCCACGGCCAGCATCAGCTTCTCAAAGTCACCAGACAGCTCTCCCCGGATGCTCCTCTCAATCGGCTTCCCGGAAATCTTCAGGTACTCGTCAAAGACTGCAGGATAAGAGCGAGATGATGCCTCAAGAAGGTGCAAAGATACCTTCAAGCTCAACCCGAGCTCACAGGAGATGCTCACCCAGGCGGAGGTGCTGCTTGCTTCGCCGACCAAGGATGTAGATGAACTGGGCCTCGTCTGTGCCCCATTTCAGCTCGCCAGCTTCCAGCAGGTCCTTGTGGGATTGGGAAGGCGGCAGAGCCCAACTCAGGGTGCTGCTCACATGGGGCTCTGCCCAAGCACGGTCACCCTTGGCACCCACCCCCGCCTTTCGCAGGCCTAAGTCCAGATGGTCTCAGTGCCACCAGCCCCATCCCTGCCCGGATGCCACCTGTCCCAGTGACCTGCTGAGCCTCACCTTGGCATCCTGCTCCACCAGGTCCTCGCTTACCACGTCGTCCTCCTCCCTGGTGCCCTGTGGGACAGAGACAGGCTCAGACCTGCTGGGCGCAGGCACTCACCACCTACAGGTGCTGGACAGATGGACATACCTGAAGCAGAACGACGAGCATCTTCTTGAAGTGGCCTGATGTGTCTCCAACGATGTCAGCCTCCAGGTCTCTCTGGTAGGCTGGTGGCAGAGGGAGAGGTCAGGGCCTGGAGACCTGGATCCCCTCACCTCTGCCCCTTGTCCTGGCCCAAGGGGACACAGAGCAGTCCCTGCCCTTCCCCAGCCCTCACCGTCTTTGTAGGCAGCCACCAGGTTGTGGATCTCCTGGTTGGTGCGGGACGCGAGGATCTCAATGAGGCACTTCTCATCCGTGCCGATGCCCTGCGGGCAGAGATGCAGCCCTGTGAGCAGCGGGGCCAGCGGGGGTGTCCTTGGAGGGCCCTGGGAGGGTGCCGAGGTGTCCATGGAGGACCCTGGGAGGGTGCCCACCCCTTACCGCGATGGCATCTTTGATCTCCTTGGCATCACTGTAAGCTGGAGGCCGCATCAGGCTCACGATCAGCCGCTCAAACTTCCCCGTCAGCTCGTACTTGAGGTCTGCGATGAGGTCCTGGTGGAGGGGGAAAAAGGGGCTGGGGGACCCTTTGCTCCACAGCATCTCCGAGTGGGCGCAGGAAGCAGTGGGTCCCTGTGTGGGCTGGTTGGTGGCAGCCACAGCCACCTGTATCTGCACTGGGGGCTCAGACCAGGGAGCGTTTCTGCCATTACCTTCCCATAGAGGGACTTGTAGGCTTGGCAGATCTCCACTCGCTGCTTGTTGCTTCTGGATGTGATGAGATCAAGGATGGCCTCCTTGTCACTGCCTGCAGGGAGAGCCAGGAGTCATGCTCAGCCCCATGGCTGGGGCTCAGCCCCCATCCTGCCATGCCCAAAGCTGCTTCTGACTTGGGGCCGGGAGGAGGAGCAGAGCCCAGCTGGCTCCAGAGAGGAAAGGGGAGCCAGGATAGGTCCTGGCACACTGCTGAAGCAGACAGGCAGCTGAGAGGGGAGGTGATGCAGGATGCCCAGCCATGCAAGGGTCAACTGAAGGAATAGGGGATATCGGGGTGGCCCCGGGGTGACGGTCCAGAGGAGCATCCATACCAAATCCCTTCATGGCATTGTACAAGGCCTCTGCGTCCTGGCTGGCATCAAAGCCTGGGAAATCCTTCACGGATCCCCTGTAGACCTAGGGGAAAGGAGGCAAGGAGATGAATGGGGCAGGAGCAGCCCCCGGTAGGATGGGGGAAGAAGTTGAAGCTGAGCTGGATCAGGGTGAGATGTGCTCCCACTTGGGCTGCCCGAATGAAAAGCTCAGCCTCTAACATAAACACTTGTTCTTCTCCTCGGTTGTTTCCTTTCCTGTTTGCTCTTTCCACCGTACAAATTGTTTGCATGCCAGGTCGCTGGAGTACACAGCGTTCCCTCTGGTATCTCACTGGCATGGCTCTCTGTCTGCTGCTTGTGCCCCACTGTTAAGCTGGACACAACCCTCCCGCTGTGCCAGCAAGAGCTGGTGCTTTGAAACGAGGTTTCTTGAGCACATTTGTGTTCCCAGCTCCATCTAGGGAGGTTCCAGACCCCACAGGAGGGATGGACACCCTGAACGCAGGGGAAGGCATGGAAGGACCAGGGCAATCCTGCAATGCAGCCAGGGCAAAGGGGCTTGTGGGGGGGTGGACTGGGAGCAATGAAGTCATCTTCCTCCTGCCTGTTGCAAGCAGGGAAACTCTCCGGATACTGAGATGGCCAAGCTCTGCACAGCCTCCAAGTGAGGAGACACATTTACAGGCACAAAATCATGGTGGGCTGCTAAGCAGAAAGCACTGAGAAGTGCCAGAGCTGCCAACACCTCATCCTGCCCTACCGTATGCTCCTGCAGGACCCAGGCTGGTCCGAGGAGTCAGAGCAGAGATGCTGGATACAGGGTATACGAAGGGAAGACCTTCCTGGGAGCCTAAGAAATCCTGGGGGTTGGTGTGATCCACTTCTGCCTGCTCCTCTGCACCTCCAGGCTGCACAACAGGGAGCCCAGGAGCGACATCCCCAAACAGAGACCTCAGGAAAAAGCAGGGACCAGGCTTCCCTTCCCTGGGTCAGCTTCACCCAGAGGAGCCTGGGGCTGGACACTGAACGAGATCAGCACAAACCCTGGGTGGAAGCAGATGTGAAACCAGGCCGGCCCCATGTAAGGAACTGGGACATCCCCGCCGGAGGCAGGGAATGGGAAGAGCGAACAGCAGCGTTTCCTTAGTGGTCTCGCTGGGGATGCAGAGGGCTGGGAGCCAGGCTGAGCTGGGGCTCTCAGCTGTGTCAGCACCCTGGGAAACTCTGAACATCCTCCCTTGGCTCTGCTTGTACCATGGGCAACCGGGTACGTACACCTCCCAGGGCTTGCTTGCTCAGGATCTGCTGCAGGGCTTGTTTAAAGTCTTCAAGAGCTGTATGAATGCCCAGGGCTGTTGCCAGCGTGGGCATCTGAAGCCAACATGTCCCCTAAGAAGGTGGGCATCAGGCAGGCAGCACCAGTGCCAGCATCCCTGACCCAGCCAGTGACTCCAGGAATGAACCCAAGGATACGGGGCAGCCCCATACCCATCACTCCCCTGGGCCACATCCCAACACTGTGGCACAACAGCTCCACTGTGCATCTCCCACAGCCGGCCCCTGTACCCCCATTTTCCAGACAGAAACCAGTCCAGGCCAGGCACATCCCATGGGCCGTCTCAGGAGGAGCTGCTGGCACTGGTGTCCCACGTGGTGGGGACCAGGTCGGGCAAGAGGAGACGCTGCCCTTGGAGGGAGCCAGGCGAGCACGGGGACAGATCGTATATCAGGTGATTCATCTGCAGAGCTGGATTTAGCCCCGCTTCCCGGCAGCTCCCGGACCCTCCTGGCTCCGTGCAAGCTGCTGCCCACACGCACGCCTTGCGGAGACATAAATAAGGAGCTGCAGGGCAAAGGAGGTGCCTGGAGGCAGCAGGAGGGAGTGAAGGTGGCTGGAAAGTGCTGGGGATGCACAGGTGGTGACGGGAAGACAAGATGTCAGCCCTGGTTAGATGGGGAGGAGGAGCAGGGCTGTGTTCCTGCCCGCTGAGCCATTGAAGCACGAGCTGTCTGCCTTGCCACAGTGGCGGGGACAAGGGAAACTGAGGCAGGAACTCGGTGCTGTGCTTTACCCCGTGCTCCCTGCGCTCTCATGGGAACGAGATCCAGGGAGGTGCAGAAACATCATTTGGGAGGGAAACAGCATTCTGCCCGCTGCATCCTCCTCGCACT